TTCTTAATAACGTAATGATCAAATGAAAGAGAAGATAACGAGTGCGCAAGATACTAACACAATAACAAAATGACCCAACCAACTACAAACATGCAAGTTAATAACGCAATGATCAAATGAAAGAGAAGATAACGAGTGCGCAAGATACTAACACAACAATCAAACGACAAACAGAACGACAAGTGCGCGGGATACCAACTTAACAATTAAATTACAGACGAAACTAAATTTGCACGAGATACTAACGCAACGATCAAATGCGGACAGACAAAACTATAAGTGCACGGCAAAATACTTACACAACAATCACACAAAAGAGAAATCTACCAGTGCGCGAGATTCTAAAGTATCAATCAGAGTAAAAAGAAAAGTTGAAAAGCACGAGATACCTCGGTAAAAATCACATGGCATAGGAAACTAGTGATGCGCAAAGTGAGATCGTAAAAATCGCGTGGTAGGAAGACAACAAGTGCTCGCCATACTGATGTATCAATGCAACGACAAAGAAACCTACACGTGCGCAAGTTGCCAAGTTGCGAAATGTATAAGAAAAGAGGACCAGTTATCAGATCTTGAGTTTTTATGTGTTGAAATGGGAAAAACGGTTTGTCTCACCTTCGACTTGGCTCATTCTTCTTCATGCCCCTTTCCATTCGTTTGCGAGGCTGACGAATGACTTCTACTAGATATTTAATTCGTTACTATGAGTCCCACGTGCGATTGAATTCAATTCAAACGCGTTCGCGAGTTGATGGACAACCGTGCATGTCTTCGTGAATGCGAAGGGGGAAAATGGGCAAACAACAGAACACGGTGGACAACAGAACACGTAAGTAAATAGAAATCAGACTACAGAGGGTAACAGAAAACACGTCACGGAAAATAACAAAGAGCACATCACTAAACATAGAATCAATCATGCAATGGAGAGACAACAATGCAGGCTATCACCAACGGATAACTAACACCAAAGAGAACATATAGGTGAAGTTACAACTGAAAACCAAATTTCCGATGGTTTCCTTTTTTTAAATAATTCATTATAACTTAGTTTTTAAACGTAAGATGGACGAAAAGTACTTTTGCGCATCACATCACATATTCAAATTTGGCGCTTCATCAGGCTTTTAACAACTCGTACATTTACATCTATAAATAAATAAGCCTTTAGCTTCATAGGTTTAAAATAAATCTGCAATATTTGTTTACGAAACTGAAACTTGATCGTGTTCAATGACAGTTCTTGAACCATGGTTTTCTTCATGGCTGTAATGTCTACTGTGTTTTTTTTTAAGAACAGTATATCAGTAGAAAAACCACAAGGGTGCGTTTCACACCGATTCCTCAACCAAACATTGTGCGGTGTAAATCGCTTTTACCAAACCACTAGAAGTTTTCTTGGAAATAATTAGTAAATTTTTCTAAACTGTAAATGCAAGAGATACTCTTGAATGGCGTATTGAAAACGTATGTCTTGATAACCACAATTCAAAACACGAAACTCGACAAGTTGTCCAAAGGAGGTTTAGAAGCAAAACGTGGAAAGAAAAGTGAACAATGGGGCTAATGCAAATAATCTTATCACATACAACAAGTGTATGAATGGACAAATCAAGGCTGAGAACCTTTGCCTGATCATGAACCTGAATTTCCTTTTAGAAATACATTACGTACTGCGTTAGTTACAATTTTAAGGAATTAAGAACGTTCATTCTGACTGCCGTGTCATCCACGACGCGATTATGAGTCTTATCTACCCGAGCTTCATCTGCGGCTCCAGACAAATCTGTCGACTTGGTGAGTTGCGTGGTTCGTCTCCGATCTCTTCGTGTCCGCCTGTGCTTACGTCTCACGCTTTTCTCTCCCCTGGAATCCAGAAACTTTTCAACGACATTGTCCCAGTCGACAACAGATTGGATTAGACTCCACTCTTGATAAGCATCTTCATCCATGGACTCATCTCCACGCATGATGCTCACTCGCCGCCGTCTCACAATGTCACCTAGGCCATTGTTGTCTTCCTGTTGCACAGCTATCTCTTGCACTCGACACCTGCAGCGAGACCTGTACAGCATCTTGAAGACATGGACCAACTTCGAGAAGAGGTTTATCGGCGTTGGGTTGGAGGTCTCGCGTTCCATGTTTCTGATAAGCCTGGCTCGTCCGAACTTCCACGCAACATCCGACTCGACTTGCAACCGTTGGTAGGTGTCGCTCATCATGGCGATCAGAAGGTTGATAAGGACAATGATGACAAGCACATTGTAGAGTCCGAACACCACTTTAGACATGTCTTTTGCTCGGATGTCGTCAGATGCAAAGTCCTTTTGATTTGTTAGTCCAAAGATACCAAAGAAGAGGAGTTCCACGATTTTCAGGAAGGAAACTGAGGTTTTTGCTGAGATCACACTGGGGTCCGTGTCGTTCGCAGCCTTCAATTCCAGTGGCTTAAACACTGCTGCGAGCTGCAACGCGAAGCTGGAGAAGAATATTGTCAAGATGAGTAGAAAACGAAGGACATCCACAACTAGATGACCGATGATGACACCCCAAGGACCGAATAACCGGTGAATAGACAAGAACTGAAGAAGTTGCAGACCACTCAGCATTAGGGCCGTGCCTAGAAATTGGTTCCGCACGAACACAATGCCAATTCTCTTTTCACCACCGTAACCAATCGCAATCATTCGTAGCAGCTCGCCAAATAGTACCAAGAAGACCACAAGGGTAGGGACCCATCCCAGCCCACTTCGTTCCCGTTCGCTGCTAATCTCAGTGAGAAGCATGCCGATGATCCACATAAATAGCAGGTATTCGAACCAGTGAGGTAAGAGGTCGCTGCCGTCGTGGTTCCAAGGCACTACCACCGTCAGACAGAGAAGAAGGATAAGATAGAGGTGAGAGATGAGCCGGCAGATGAACTTGATGATGGGGATTTGGCGGTGCCTGTTCTTGAATGGAAGTGAGAGGTACACCCAAATGGGTGGAAAAAAGAATGCCACAAGGAACAAAACCATGAACTTCCAGTCCTCCCACCTGAGGTCACCGAACCAGATCTGGGTGACATACTGTTGAACCAAAGGATGCGAAACACATTGTTTCAGCTCGCATTCGATCAGGAAATCGAGGAACGCCACGTTTTTACCATCAATGGAATTGAGCACTGCTCCAGAATCCTCGGCACACGAGATGCTGATGAGGTCTTTTGCCACGGTTTCGCAGAAACCGCTGGCCAATTCCAGCTCGTTTGCGTGTTCTTTGTTTTTCGTAGTTTCAATACGGTAGTGACGCGACAGGAACGATGAAATGTGCACAGGGGCTGGTGCACTGAAAATAGAAGGTATCGGATAAATAATTGGCTTTTAAAAGGACTTCTTATCCGATAAAATATATTTATTATGTGCGTGACATGTTGATTACTAAACCTGGGTAGCTTAAAGGTGGATATTGGCCCCTGAAGTTGCCAGAGGGAAGGGAAGAAACGCCTTTTACACAGCAACGCCACAGCCGTAAAACTGCAAGCACTCAAGCAACTAATCACTTAATGCACCTTTGCATGCTGCTTTCGTTTGTGTGTTCGTTCGCGTATACGTGGTCGTTCGTCACTTTTTGTCCTACACAGTGCAGGTTGCAAGAAAACAAACAGTTTCATGCGAATTTTAACCGTAGGAAAATAACCTTGAGCAAATGCGTATTCAAAACCAGAGTTAAGTATACAAAACTTGATTATCAGGCTTTGTCACTTTCCCCTTAAAAAAAACTGTAGCCCCAGACTTTAGTAAGCCTTACGAGCTAAGAAGACCCCACTGCGAGAAATTATTCCGGTTTCGTGAGCACGAAGCGACTAAGAACTTGATGCTCAACCCAAACGGGATGTTAGTTTATCAAGGAGCCTTATCCCACAGTAATTCGTCAAGTTTTCCCGGAGCTCAACCAAGACCTTAGCATAGGGCAAAGTGCAACTTTAAATTACAATCACAATCAAGTTTTCTGTATATTTATTAAAACATCAAGAAGAGCAAGCGCATCATTTTGGACGTAATCGAAGACACTAGTTGTGTTTTATTAGGAACTGCACAATCATTGTGTCGCAAACAATTCAGAGCCGGTACAAGCAAATTATCATCTTTTTGCTTTTTAGGCAAGATAACTAGTAACAAAACAAATCTAAAATGTAAATTTACCTGAGTGTAAAGGTCATCAAAGATTTGTAATTGGACGAACGAGAACAAATTACAAGGTCCAGCAAAAACTGCCAAAATAAAACAAAGGATAAAAATTAAGTAAGCAGATATTAACCCTTTACTACCATAAGTGACCAAGACGGAATTTTTCCTCACAATATCGATACAATATCAGGCAAACAAATGACGAGAATAAAGAAAAAATATCAATTAGGGGATCATTAGTTAATCCAATGGCAAATTCTCTGAACTCACATCATAAGAATTGTATGGCAGACATTAAAGAGAATTAAAAATGAGATCCTTGGAGTTAGAGGTTTAAAGCACTAGTAATTATTCAGAAAACTGGGCTGTGTAGTTCACTGAAGGAAAGAACGATCCCTGCAGTAAATCTTCAAATGAACGTCGCCTGGCTTATGTAACTTATAAGAGTTTCTACTAACTCTTAAACCTGTTAGGACTTGCCACTGACTCTGACCATAACTTTCCCTCTGGTCGTCAAATTGTCACCAATAACAGATCACACGAAACACCACCTCTTGGGGACTTGTCATTATTTACAGCCTGTAGAGGGGGAGGGATGGGATGGAGTATTTTGGTTGTATCACATAAAATTTAACGGATCCCCCCTTAGGCTCTGTAGTATTCTAGTAGTCCCCATCCTCTCCCCTCCCCCCTCATTTGCGGTCAATTTTCAACAGACCTTGATTTCTTCTCTGATCCCTTTCCTTTCCCCTGAAAACCACGCGATCCTTCCAAAATACTCCCCACCCCCCGTATCCCCAGGCGACGCACAATGATTGGTTCTTTACTCACAGATTCAAGCCATCAAATACCTTTTTGTTGCTTATCAGTCGTTCATGATTTAGTCTTTGACTAAGAAGGAAATCCAGCACTTCAATATGTCGTTCTCTCGCTGCTAGACAAATAGGCAAATCTTCAGTCTGAAAGATAATCAACACCAAAACGTAAGATAACGACATCTCGATCTATCTACATTGGTCAGCGGTCCATCATGTGTGCCATGCGTATTCACTGTTCGCAAACCAAGTGAATGGGACATGAACGCGAGATTAATAGCTTATTGGCTTTGAATTTTTTTAATGGTTGTGGAAGGAAAACAGGAAAACAGGAAAACTGTAAAATATAGTTTGTCTTGGTGGGTTAACATTAGGGAAATGAGTGCAAAGCAAAAAGGTACAGAAATGACATGAATTGAAGATGACAAACATGAAAAATTAAGGCTGAAATTTGCAGTGCAAATCGGCAAGAACTGAGATGTAGCTGTCGAACGCCAGCGTTTTTCCCATTCTACAAGGAATGCTGAGTCCCTCAAAAAGGGATAAATTAGTTTTCCTTATGTCTGACCTTGTTTTCAATCAGTGGCGAAGCTCCATACTCCACCAAAAGCTTAACAACCGCATTATAGCCAGCTTCAGACGCAATGTGCAGAGCCGTATTACCCATCTAGGAGGAAACGATCATATATCTTTAAGACACAACTTTCTAGTCTGTCCTGTCGGTTAAAAAAAAGAGAACCCGCTACAAACACGACGTTCGTCAGAGACTGTTGATCAAACAACTCTGACCAATACCCTCGTTGGGCAAGGAAGGAGTTAAGGCCCTGCATTTCCCAAAATGGTGATCTAGAGTTAACATACATTGTCTTGGGCGTCAATGTCAGCTCCCTGACCAATCAGAATCGTGAGCAGCTCCCTGTGGCCATTAGCGGAAGCGAGGTGTAAAGATGTCCGACCGTCGTTGTCCATAAGCTGAAGTAAAACAGAGGCTTTGCTAATCAACGTGCTGGCTACTTCAATGTGACCTTCCATGGATGCTATATGAAGTGCTGTGCGACCCTTCAGGGACAGAAAAGAAGAGATAATCATGAAGTTCGAGAAATCTTAAACCACCATTGAGCACCTACACCTACACCTACACCATGGAGCACCTACTCATGTCACCTGTTTTTTGATCTACTAATAAACCTCATCGAGAACAAATAAACTGTTCCCTTCTTCTTAATGCACACTAATTTTTCTCACCGACAAGTCGTCCGAGCACTCCACGCTTAGGAAAAGCCCTTTCGAATAACCAACAATTAAAGGACCGTTGTCATTATGGTAAATGTGAAGTTTGATCCCATACAACGGATAATTTTGTTGATTCCAAAGATTTGATTTGCTGCTTTTGCTCACGCAATTTTAATCCTAATTGCAAATAAGCACACTTACCTTAAAATGGAAAAGTTGCGTTCTCACGCAAGTAAATCAATAAACTAAACTAATCAGAATTTAAAAATGAATGAATGAATGAATGAATGAGGAAATTTAATTTTGTCAGTAGGCTCTACTCAACATATTTCCATTTGGGGATGGTTTCGAAGAGAGATATAAAAGTTGTCCTCTCGGATACAATTGAGTAGTAAGCGGTTAGAACGAAATATATTAAATGAAGCATTATCTTCAACTTACCGCTTTAACGGTGACAGAATCCACTCGCACACCAGGATGGTTGGTGATGGCCCGTACCAGGGTGTTGTCGCCATTTTGAGCGGCAAGATGAAGAGAAGTAAAACCATACTGAGAGAAAAACAGCATAACGAACATTAGGAGACTTAATGCTCTCACAAAAAAAGAAATTTAGAATTTTCTTGAGCAGAAGATAGTTGACTTTCTTTGAGGTATAGAAGCCATGTACTGCCAGACTTATTTTAAAACAAAATTTATTAGTTTTAACCAATATAGTTAACTCAAAGAAGTAATCAATGAAACGATGACTAAACAAAGTAAAAAAGCGCTCACGTCATCGTCTTCGTCTTCACCGTCAGCTAGAACTGGGCGCTAAAATAAAAACAAGAGATGATCTGAATTTGAAAAGCTACATCGCAACAAGGTTAGAAACTCCAAATTCCTCTTTTTTCAGATAGATTCTACAAGGATTTTGTTCGCTACGGTGTCAAAGGAAATCTGGGTTGCATTATTTTTACTTTTCTTCGCTCTGTGATTGGTCACACGCAACCTTTTCAACCAATCAGACGCAAATCTAAAACTAGTCGCGACTTAGTTTTCCCGCTTCAGACCGGTTGCACATGATTACTTTTAGTTCTTATTGGTTTCTTCTAGGGTGAACTTTGTTCTTATTGGTTGTTGTGACTGCTTTAGTTTAGGCTTTGGGACACACTCGAAAAGCAATCATTTATCTGCCTGTTTTCCTATTAATGAAAAGCATTATAGATAAAAAAAAAAGCACAAAATGCTATTGGTAACCGAAAAATCATTAAACAGTTTATTATAGAAAGTAACCGAAATCCTAATTTGTTAGGCTTATTGGTCAGTTAGTTTTTCCAAAGATATTACAAAATCACACAACCATGGGTAATAATTATTGGGATCTCACTTCACTGACTAACGTGGCTGAATAAGGGGCTCTGGTGAGAAACTCTTGCACAACTTCCGTCTGACCATATAAGGCAGCAACGTGAATGGCTGTCATGCCATTCTGAAAGAAATTTGACAAAGTATATCACTAACCACAAATCCCTACCAAGTACTGCCGCAACATCTCTCGAAAGGGAAAGGAGAGCGGCAAACATCGGAAATTTTGTCGAAAAAAGGTGATAATAGTTAAATTCCAGGAGCGTGTCGTATTTTAGCCACTTTTAGATACCAACTCTTGAGGAAAGAGCAATTCCAGGGACATTTTATATCATCACCATTATAAAAAGGACTACTGACGATAACTCCATAGGCAGGCTTACCTTAAACCTTTCACTGCTGAGATTTCATTAGTAATTCTTTTTACTGTCAGCCATACAATTGTCATGAAGTAAGTTTAGAGAATTTGGTATTGGATCCACTGAAAAACCCTCTAATTGATATTTTTCTTTATTCCCACCATTTTTCTGCTTGAAATTGTATTGATATTGTAGAGAGAAATTCTGTTTTGGTCAGTTATGGAAGTGAAAGGGTCAACTTACTAAAAGTATAGAAGAGACAAAAACCACGCCTGTCATTTTAAGATCTCTCCTAGGAACAGCACAAAAAATGACAGAAGAATGAGAAGAAATTCTTACAAACCTTAACACTGGTTCGGTTAAGTGGTGTTTTTCCCCATAGCATATCAATAACTTTGACTTGACCAAACTTGGCGGCTAAATGCAGAACGCTATTGCCTTCCTACAAGTATATATGAAACGGAATAGGTAACCTATCTTTGGCTTTTACTACAGAGCATCGCAAAATGCATTGCAAGTAAAGAAATGATCCTCGCAGACGAACTGTAATGAAAAACAGTGCAGAAAAGAGGCCTAAAAAATCCGGGCCTCGACGGGATTAGAACCCAGGCCTTTCAGAAATTAGTTGGGTTCCACTACCAACTGATCTACAAAGCCACACGTTAGGAGCAAAGCAAATTGCAGTGCAGTCAAAGTGCAGTGAAGCATCAGCGAGATGTATAAAACTCGAGTTAATGTTGGATAACCATAGATCAGACTCCTCTTTTGCGGCGCTTAAGGCGACAACGTAAGCAGCGGTCAGTAAATGTAGGAGAAAACTAGCGTAATCGCGACTCAGAACTCCGTCACGCCCGTTTCGCGTTCAACAAAGCAACAAAGGGAAATACTACAGTCTGTTGTCGTATTCTGCTTTACATCAGTACATCATACATCGCTAAACTGATAATTCTTATGATTTAGTACCTTCTTGCTTGACATAGTTTCATTTATCGCGAATATAAACTACAAGTTCAACACAGTGAAAACAGGATAAGAGATGAGTGGGTTTTACCGTGTCTTCTTCGGTCGGCGAGGCTCCATTTTGAAGCAAGAATTCCACAATGTCTTTATGGCCTCCACGAGCAGCCAACAGCAGAGGTTTGCATAAGACGCCCTACAGGATAAGAGATTTTGAGACTGACTGTTTAGCAAGGTAGTCCCTTTGAAATACAATATCAAAAACTCAGTTAACCAAGGGGGATCCATAGGAACCCTTGACAGCAGGAGCATGTGAAATGAATGGGAAGGGGAAAGAAAATATGATCTTTTAACCCTTTATACTCTTACATCAGTATGCATATTCTCCTTACTGTTTTGTATAGTTTTCCTAAGATGCTGAAAAGGAGAATTCGTTTAACAATCTAGAGCTTCTTTATAGTTCAGTGATAATAATTTCCTTTATTCTCCTGACTTTAGTGTTTGATTCAGTGTGAGGAGAAATTAAATGATGTGCTAGTCACTGAGTCAAAAGGCAAACGACAATTCATAGAAGAAAGTACCGGCCATATCAAATGCAAGTTCGATCTTGTTTATGTGTAGATGATCTCATTTAGCTTCTGCTTTCGGCATGGCGGTCGTAAAAGATTGCTTTGATACATTCTTTGTTCATTTCAGAAACCCTCCTTTGCCATGAACTTTCCATCCCCCCTCCTTTTTCTACAGAAATGGCTATTTTGCGTGTTGCAGACAACAACCAACAAAATTTAGCAAGAATTAATATGAAAAATGTACAAACTACATATTCTCCTGCTCAAGAGATAGGTAACACCAACTATTAAAAACTGGATGATTGGATAATGCAATTCAAGAGTTTTCATTGGCTTAGCCATCATGGGTGAGAAGCCATTCTACCATGCGCGCGCATGAAAACGAGTCAAACCGAAAGTGTTTTATACATTGTAACATTCAGTTTGTTCTCACATAACTAGGTTGGGAAGATTTATCTAT